CGGGGGCATGAACGGTGGCCACATCTCCCCCGACGTCCCATTGATCATGTTGCACTCGCTGCTCCGCCAGTAGTTCACCTGTGGGACAGGTGGAGAGAGAAGGGCTCAGAAGGGTGAGCTTGCTGGAGTTGGCTTCCACCCCTGCATGGGACATCCACCACCCTGCACTGCCTCCACAGCAGCTCGAGAGCGCAACACCAAAGAACATCAAAGATCCTTCCCATCTTAAAGGTCTTTTCCAACCTCAGTGATTCCATCAGTCAAACGTCTGCCCAATTAACAGAGAAAATATCCACCACCCATTGTGTTTGATGTGTAGATTCAGTTGATTGTAGTTAGGAGTGATATTCCACAGGGAAGAATAAAGCATCCCTTTAACAAGGGTATTTAAATACCTTAAACACAGGCCACAGGGGCCTGGGACTTCAACCATTAGAGGCAACCAGCTCCAACAGCATTTCAAGGGAGTCCAAGTGACACCCATGAGAAGCTGAATTTAATGCTTCCTTACAAGCCCCTTGCCACATGGCTGCCTCCTGGCAACTTCCTAGAACAGAAGTTGCAGCAGTTTAAGTCCTGTAGAAACTTGTCTTCAAACCTATGACCCAGAGACAAGAGCTCCTAGAACTTTCAGTTTATCTTAGTTTATCTCAGGCATTGCCCCTGTATTAAAGGTTTGCCGCCTGGTACTTACCTTCTTTAGCCCATTCCATGAATCCACCATGTGAACTTGACTGATGTTCTTCATGCCCGTGTTCACTGTGAACAATCCTGAATTGGAGTTGTTAAACTGCAGAGAGAAGACTTTTTAATCCACTACACACAGCAGGACTGCAACACGTTACTGACTCTGTGTGCTTCACCAGCTCTAGGGGTGCTTCACATACTGCCAGCTAATTAACTTCTGCTTATTTCAGTTAAGGGCCTGAGCTACCCCCAAGACCACTACTGCTGTGATTTTAGCATTCCCAACCAACACTTTACTCACCTCTATAAACAAGCCAAACTTCCCCTTGAAAGGAATCAGACCAGGAACAAGTGTATTTATTGTGTCTATAAGAGGGTCTTCGTACCCCCACATGATCTCCCCCACCGTCCGGTTCATGAACGCCTCCTGTTTCATGCCAGCCAGGGCTCCACTCAGTAAAAGCTTCACAAAATTTGGCAGTTTTTCCATCATTACAGCTGCTCCCTGGAAAAGAAAAGAAACCTCTGCAATGAGAGCCTCATCTTTACCAGACAAGCATAATCTTTGGTGCTCAGCAAGATCCTTCTGCTGCTCCATCTATAGCCCCAGAGAAATCCATTGGACAGACTGAGGTTCTTCATTTATTCCCAGTTTGGGAAGAAAGAGGTTGAGGGTTCACAGGCTTCATTTCCCCACAGGATGCTCAGGGGAGGTTTCATACTCAAGCCCAGTTGCTTTGCCAGCCTCTCTGGTTTTGGAACATGCACACACTGGTTTTGGAAGAGTAAGCGCAACACAACTAACAATCAGAAAGAAAATTGCGTTTTATTAGTTTTACACTCAAGGCTCATCATTGCTTGATGAGCCTTAAGCCCTACAAGAAAGTAAACTTTGATTTAGCATTAGGCTTCACCACCCTCCCCGCAAGCTCAGAAGTTGGAACCCATCCAGGGAGCAAGCACTTACCATCATCAAAATGTTTGGCACGACGACATAGTCTTCTTCAGTGCCATTGGACATGTCTGGCTGGAAGAAAAGGTTACGGTACTCCAGGAAGGAAACAGTGTCATTGTCATGGAACGTGATGTTTGTTTTATACCTGTACTCCCTGCAAAGAGATGAAAGAAGTCATGGGAACCTTCCCCCAGGCAGAGCCCCTGCAGTCCCTTTGGAGCAAGGATGGGCTGCACCGGCCTGGGCTTGTGGAGGAGACCGAACCCCAGGGAGAAACCACAGGGAAGAGGTATCAGCCTCCACCCCAATCAGAGTTAGGGTCTAGCAGGAGGGATGGAAGTCCAGGTGCAAGGCATCCCTGAGAGACTGGATTCTTGCAGACACAAGGTGTTCTTTCCCAACTCAAGACCCAGCCCACAAGAAGTTTGAGACAAAAGCGTAAATCTCCTGTCACTTTGCTTACAGCCGTCGAAAAGCCCAGCCGCATCAAAGAGGTGCCCAGACATGCAGAGCCACACCAAACTACACACTAAAACCAACCTGCAAACAGGAGACTACCAGCCAAGATGCCACAGGACCACCAGTAAGCCCATACTGATTTGCTCCCAAGCTCCCTGACAGCTTCCAGGTTCAGGGCAGCACAGCATTGTGGCCCTCCTCCTGCTCCTCAGGGCTGCAGGCCATCCAACTCCTGCACGCTGCCCAGTGCTCTTGGACTTTACCCCACACCACAGGGGCAGTCCAATCTCATGGAGGCTGCTATGCCCTGCCATAGCATGAGGTTGTCCCCAACACCATGAGCCTGTCACAGCTCCTGAAGGAACTGAAGCTCAACCCACCAGCAAAAACAAAGTCCTTTACTGTGGAGCCTCTATTTTACAGCCCACATTAGGGAAGGGCACTAATCTTGCTCAGTGGGAACACAAGGACACTAATAAGCTTTGCCCCTTTGTTTATTCTGATTTACAATAAGTGAAGCCTTTTCCCCAAGCCAAGTGACTGATTGGATCACAACATACAGAACCCACATGGTATGACCTGGCAAGCCCAGATGAAACAAGGGCATATACATACTGCCAGGTTTCCCCCCAGCACTGGTCAGCTTTGGATTAATCAGTAATCTTTCCACATGAGCTTGCTTAGCCTGCTGACTTAACCTTGCCACATTAGAGTAGGCACTAATGTGTCAAATATGACTACTGATGGGTAAATTCACACTCTCAACTCAGCATCAACCATCACTTCATGTTTCAGGTGCAGAGCATGGGACTTCAGCCACCATCCTCAGCCACGGCAAATAGGTCTGACCAAGTTTTAGTGGTCTGTACTGGTTCTCATGACCAGAACGCTCATGTTAAGCAGATTCTGGGTCTCATATTAGATAAGGACCCATGAAGTTTGATATTGAGGTGACTCTAGCTCCAGAGCTGGACTCTTAAATGCACAGTGAAGATGAAACAAGTACACTCTGAAGATGAGGGTCACTCACCACCACACCAACACCCCTCATGCCTATGTTTGGACCTTATCAGCCCAGGTCTGGCTGTCCAGCAGGCCCCAGCACAGGACTGAGCTCTACAACACAGTGAAGAAGAGATCAGTTTTACCACCCCAGCGGCCAGGGGTCCTACTGGTGGCTTTAGCAAGATCAGAGCAATTAGAGCACATTTGGGTCACTTTAAAACCCTGTGCCACTGGACTCACACCAAGTATGCAGCGCCGTGCCCTCCTGCCAGAGGAGTCAGCCAGCAGCTGAGCTGGACCACAAGTGGTCCCTGACCTGTACACGTAGGGTCCACGCTGGGTCAGCACCGGCTTCGCTCCCTGGAGAACTTGCTTGGGGTTCAGCACTTCGAAGAAGTGCACAGACAAGTAGAAAGGAACAGGAACGACTTTCCACATGTTGAAAGAGATGCTGCTGGGGTCGATCCTGACGTTCTGTAAGGGGAGAGAAAAAAAAAAAAAGAGAGAAAAAAGAAGTGAAAAAAGGAGCAAGAAGAGACAACTTTTGGGCTCCGTGGCTGCAGATGAGCATATCCACCCTCAGCTCCATGTAAGGCCCAGCTGAAGGCAACAGTTCCTGCAGAGGCTCTCTGGAGAATCCAGGTGGGCAGACTGAAACTGAACTAATCTGAACTGAGAACTTTTACATATGCAGAAACATCAAGTTTATGCTACAGGATGCCTGTTGGCTTATTTATTCAGGCTCCATTTTACAGATTCTACCCACAGGATTTGAGAATTCTTTTGATGTGCTGGAGACCCACTCCGCACTAGACAAACCAGCACTGAATTATTCACACCTCTGCATGTTTAATTTGCTTGGCAGAACAACCTTGCCCCAAAGGCCTTTGCTTATGGGTTTGGCAGCTCCACACAGCCAGGAGGCAAGGGCTGGGAGAAGTGACAGCTATCCTCACAACCGTTTGGATACCAGCAGGAAGAGCCCATTAGATTCCCAGAAGATGGAGAATTGGGATGGCAACCGAGCTGTGTCCTAACAGCACAGGACACCTCTGATTCCTCTCAGCTGCCATCCTGCATTGACTCAGAGTTGATCATGAAGCAGGTCAAAGACAACACACAATTGTGTTTGCACATCATTGTCCTATTTGCTGTGAAATGACTGCAGGAGCTCGAAGACAACTTAAGCCCTCCTCAGCTCAGGAGCTGGCATCTGCATACACCTGCCTCCACTCCCTCCTTGCCTTCGGGGTAGGGGGGGCTGCATTAGGGGTAACAGCCTGTTCCTTCTTGAACATGTACTTTGGGTGTGTTCCACCATAATCTTTTCTTCTGCAGGCACAAATCCTTGCCCTGGTTAGTTAAGTCAGTCAGCTTATGGAAGTGGGGTTGATCCACTAACTGCTGAAGGCATGTGGGCTTATCACAGTGCAGCTTTATCACAGTGCAGCTCAGCAACCCCTCAACAGCTCTCCTGCTCTGGAGCAACTTGATCTGACAGGGCACGTATTTGTTGGCACAGGGCATTGAGACAGAAGGCTGCCAGAGGCCTCCCCACAACACCCCATCTTTCTTTAGTCATTTCATGACAAGGCTGGGCTACCCACAAGCAGCAGGGCTCTGCAAGCCCCTCATCCAAGCCCTACCCCTAAGCAGACACCTCCACGGTGCAGTGTAATCCACCTAACCCAGCAAACCCTTCCCACCTCCACTTCCATGCCCACATGCTGCTGGACAAGGGCCTCCATCCTGCTAGCCTGAAGGATTTCAGGGCAAAGAAGCAGTGATAGGACAATTTTTTATTTACTCTGCTTTACAATCCTGATTCCCAAGTGTTCAGCCAAGCATGATCAGGAGCATCTGGTTTCCTTTACTTGTTTGTTCTGTCTTGCACTCCCTGAATCACCTGTTGCATATGCATTTATTTATGTAATATGTACCCAGTCAGCACCCAGGACCTTTGAGCATCCCAGCTCAAGGCTGCCTGTCCCAGCCCCCTCCCTTCTGGGCACAGGAGCTCAAGGTGCTCCATAGGTGCTGCTAAGTAATATCCACTGACAGGGTAGCTTTGGAATTAAGCTACTTGTAGGTCAAAACAAACACGGTCATATGCCTGAAATAAAAATAAAGTACTTGTCAACTTAGATAAAATAGAGTATTTGTCAACTTAGATGGGTTATAAAGTGTCACTGGGATGTCTGATCCCTTCTAACCAGGATGATCCTTGTTCCTGAGGAACTAAAGGGAACTGGTTACTGCCCATTGGCTCCAGACAGGACCAGAAGAGCAGCAGCTCCACCGCAATGCCCAAATCCTGCTTCTCCAGGAGGGAGGTTTCAGCCACCCTGATCAGCAAAACCGAGAGTCAAGGTTTCCCCTGCAGACTGAGAGGAGCAATCACATTGGGCGTCGGTCAGACTTCACCCTGCACCTCCTCTCACCACCCTCCTCCTCACCCTGCTAGAACAGCGAGGACAGGGCTGTCAGCCCACTCCCAGCCTTCAGCCAGGACAGCACCAGAGCTCCCAGGTGCAGCAGCAACGGGTGGCAGAGGGATGAGCTGATGCAGCCTCACTGTGTTCAGGCTCATACCTTGTAAGCAAGTCTGTGGCATTCCAGATGCTTCCAGAGAAGCAATATCCCCAGGGTTTGCATGGCCAACACCACAGGCAGCCCAATTTAGATTCAGTTTCTACAGCTGGGCCAGGAGATAGGCTCCAAGTTCCCTGTTTCTACTGTGTCTTCTCCTGCAGATTTTACCCAAAGATATCCTTGAAACTACCACCTCTTTGTAACCAAGCGCTTTTCCATCAGGAATCCCCATCCTGACAGAGCTTAGGAAGCCAGCATGGGCAAACAAGCCTTCACCTGCCCAAGACCAGCCCTTTAAGCTTCCCTCACCCAGACTACTCTGAAGACCAACCCAAGAGTTTCAGTGAGCCCCTGGATACTTCTCACCACCCATCATCACTCAGTTATGAGGCTTAATGTGAAATGGAAAAAGTAAGAGCTCAGGGCCATTTTGGGTCATTTTGAAGATGTGGAGACCAGTGCTTGAGATGAAGGGAGGAGAAACAAGAGTTGGTCTTTTCCTCATCTTCTGCTCTCATTGCAAATTATTAGGATTTAGCTAATTAGGTTGAAAGAATCAGGATTAGCTAAAAAGAGGGCAGAAAGGTTTTTGGGGGAAAAAAAAAAAAGAAAAAGAAAAAAGTAATTTCTGTTCTGCAGGGGCCATCCAGCCTTTTATTTGCAGGTACCAGCTCCTGATGTCCATGAAACTGAACAAAGATTTTTCTACCATTTAATCCACAGGACTGCTTGGCTCTGCCCAGACAGCAGCACTTCCAGGGGATATGTTTAAGTAGGTCATTTTCGGCGGAGACTTTGCATCACATGCAATGACAGCCATTGGCTGTTTGTTCACCTCTTTCGTCAGAAGCCCATTTTCAGGGGCTGACCTGGGTAGGTGGAAGCTTGGAGAAAGGCTCAGGCAAGTGGTACATCTGCTTTGGACAGCAAGAAAACAGTTTGGCTAAATAAGCTCCACATTACAGCAGGATAACTGGGGTCCTGGCAGCAGGGACAGGAGTGTTGGTTCACAAGAAGTGCAGCAGTTACTGAACAGACCAACAACTCCATCCACAGACCCACACTGTGGGGGACAAACCCTCTTCAGCCACAGGACCTCTCTTGGGGATAAGACAGGTCTTCTGAGAAGCAACTCTTTAGGTTTTCAGTCTAGGGGAGAGGACTCAGAGGCTGCTCAGAAGCTGCCCAAGGCTCCTTCCAAGTGCTACTGTGCATCATTTATCCTGTTTCCACTCGTGAAAGCATCACACCAGAGTACACTGAGACTGATAGTCTGCCCATCTACTTATGAAAGGAACAACTGGTGCTGCAGGTAGAGACAGGAGGGATGGGAGGAAGGGCTGGTGGCCAGGGCGATGCTCAGCCCAGCACTGGGTGCCCAGCCAATTCCAGGGATGCAAAGAGCCCTCGTTAATCAAGGGTGGGAACCTGCTCATTCCGGGCACGTTTGCCGTCGCCAGGAGTGAAATACCCCAGGGGTGGAATATCCCAAGCACGGATTTAGAGTAAGATCCTGAGGCTGCTCGGGATTGCAGCTGCGATACTGTCACCTCCAGGGCTCGGCTGCCTCACGCTCTCGGGACCGCACTGCATAAAGGAAACGTGCCCACACACCAGCCAGCACCGCACCAGCTCCAACACACCACGCTCCGCACCAGCGCCGACCCTGCATCCCGCACCGCCACCGACACACCCTGCTCCGCACCAGCACCGACCCTGCATCCCGCACCGGTACACCCCGCTCCGCACCGACACCGAAGCTGCCCACGGCTCCTTCCGAGTGCTACTGCACATCATTTGTCCTGTTTCCACTTGTGAAAGCATCACACCTGCATCCCGCACCGTCTCCAACACACCCCCTGCTCCGCACCGTCACCGCCACCGACCCTGCATCATCCCGCACCGACACCGAGCCCCCGCACCACTTCCAGCACACCCCGCTCCGCACCGCCACCGACCCTGCATCCCGCACCTCTCACCGGACGCGGACCAGCCCCACACCGATGCCCTGGCCACGCACCGGCTCCGACACGCACAGCCCGCTCCGCACCCCCGCATCCCGCCGCGCCCCTCCCGAGCCCCCCGGCCCTGCTGACCTTGATGACCTGCTCCCTGATGATGAGAGGCCCCACGATCATCAGGCAGCCTCCCACGAGGGCGCAGGCCGCCCCGGCCAGCCCCAGTCCCACCGAGAGCCTGCGCCGGGTGGGGGCCATGGCGAGGGGGAGGTGCGAGCGGAAGCGGAGCCGAGCCAGGAGCGGGTCCCGCCGCCGCGGCCCCTTTATGGCCCCGCGGCCCGGCCCGGCCCGGCCCGGCCCGGCGGAGGGGGCGGGGCCAGCAGGGAGGGGGCGGAGCCAGCAGGGAGGGGGCGGGGCCCAGCGGGAAAGGGGCGGTGTCAGTCGCGCCAGGCCACGCCCCCTCTCTCCGGCGGCGGGACGGGAGCAGAACCCGGGAATGGTGCGATCGTGAACACGTGTGTGAGCACGGAAAAATAGGAAAATAGGTAAAATAGACAGAGATATACAATATGTACGTAGATAAAATATCGTTCAATCATACAATGGTTTGGGTTGGAAGGGACCTTGAAGATCACCTCATTCCACCCCCCCTGCCATGGGTAGGGACACCTTCCACTAGGTCAGCTCAGAGATTCATGCAACCTGGCCTTGAACACTTCCAGGGATGGGGCATCCACAGCTTCTCTGAGCAGCCTGTTCCAGTGCCTCACCACGCTCACAGTAAAGATTTTTTCCTAATATCTGGTGTAAGCCTACTCTCTTTCAGTTTGAAGCTGTTCCCCCTTGTCCTGTCACTACATGCTCTTGTAAATAGATAAAAAAACATAAACATGTATGTATGTGTTCATGAGTGTATATATATATATGTATAGTATAAGTGTATATATATATAGTAGTGGCCCAGACTACTCCCATGAGCGTCTGGGTCCCTCCATGACTGCTGTGCTGGCAGGTTGGGGAGCTGCAAGCCTGTTGTCACAGCTGGTATTGGGTGTCTTGGGAAAGGGGGCATGGCACACAGACAGCCCAGCAATCAAGCAGAACCCAAGGCTCAACCCCAGGCTCTCCTTGAAGAGAAAACATCCATCACCTCTTAACCCACCATGTTTGCCCAAGGAATTGGGTTTTTTGTCTATCTTGCGTGTCTAAAATGTCCCTGAATAAAAGCCTCGATGAAACTCATCCCTAGAAGTGTCTAGA